GAATGCGACGACGACTCCCAACGCACCTGGCAGCATCTGTCCTGTACGGACCACAGCAGGAACGCGGATGTCCGAGAGCGCCGCGCTGTGCCTCCCGCCCTTCAGCTGCCCTGTGGGGCCTCGCATAGCTGAGGCAGGAAAAGTGAAAGGTCAGAGGCCAAGAGTCCCATTCTTTTCCCAGAGTTGGACTCCACATGAAAGAGATTTACATGAGTGTTCTGAGAAAATTCAAAGTTGTGGAATGTTAAAGGTGTGTGTTTTGATAACTCTAACTGATACCATTATAATAACCCGGTTATTATTTAATGGAAAGGAACAAACATAGGCATGCCATTTATACAACTCTGCCAGGAAACTGCAGTTAACACTCTCCAGATCTAATCCGGGCAGATCGCTGGATGTGGGAGACCATGTGCATGGCATCCATCTTGTTAAGTCTGCTCTGCTGTCTCCTGGCCCCAGGGCGGGTCTCTCTGCGTGCAGTGCCTGCATTCCTCTAGATAACTGTTTACTCCGTTCTTTGCTTATTTGTTCCACCTGGGGTATTTACTGGAATTTGCTTCAGGTGGGATACTCATTAACTGTTTCACCTGTTTTCCCCCTATATATACTGTGAACTCCCCCTGAATAAACGAGACTTGATCAGAATCCTGTCTTGTCTCCATTTCTCGTGTCTCTTGTCCCTCCTCATCCTCACTCCCCCTCTAGAGTCCTCGTTGCTCGACCTGCGGGCCGGGTCAGCTGGAGAAAGGGACTGGACAATAAATGCATGCCCAGTAAGGTCTGGGTGATGTGGGAAGAAGCTGACCTGTCAGTTACACCTAGAAACAGGTAATTGGTCAGAACAGGTGTGTCTACTGCAAGGGTGTAAAATCTGAGATATTTGAACTGCTGAACAAGGGAGCTCTCTTGCCTCTGCTAGGTGCCCAAACTCTGGCTCTCCTGTTGCAGAGGGTGTGCTCCCCTGCAGTCACCCACATGGCTTATGGCCATGTGGACCCCATACAATGGACGAATGGACTGTGATTAGCCTAATGCTCTGCTGGACTCAACTCCATGATGGAACAGAAACTCTGGACACTGGCCCTGCTTCTAGCCCTACTGAACTCACAGCTGCATATTTTCCAGGCTTGGTTTAAGAAAACTGGAACTTTGCAAACCGAGGGATGTAACTCTAAGTAAATAAAAATCAATCCTTCTCCCATGCGAGTCTTAGAAAATTAATTTTCTCAAAGTATCACAAGAACCCCACTCTCACTAGTGATGGAGAAATTCAACCCACTCAATCCTCCAGCAACGTAATGTTTTCTGAAAAAGCTATATTTACATGCCAAATATAATTAAATTAAATGATATATGTGAAAATACTTTGCAAAGTTCTTTATATGTGTAAAACATAAATTTCTGTTACTTAACTTTTCAGAGGTCTAAACATTTGCTGCCTACACAGACTGTGAATCTTGAGGTTAGGAGCCTCTTCTTACACTTCCTTTTTCTCTACTTGACACCTGAGCAAAGAACCTTTTTAATAACAGCTAAGATTTCAGATAGGCACTACAGTCTTAGTTTTAGACTTGGTAACTTTGCCTTTCAGAAATAAAATTTTTTATTCTGAAAACAATCAATGCTTATTCTGGATACTAATGCTAGAAACATCTTTTAAATAATTCTATTGAAGACAGGTTTGCTACTGCCATTAAGAAGAGTTTTGTATTTATTTATTTATTTATTTAATTAATTCTTACTTACATACTTACTAATTCTAAAGCCAGAAAGAAAACCAAGTTATTTACCTGGATTTTATTCTGTCCAGAAATAGCACAGATGAGAATTTAAGCACAAAGACTCTTAAAGCACAGAATGATACTGGATCTTTTAATACATGTAGCCACAGTTGACTTTTCATGTCCTCCAGAAAACACATACTGTCTCGAAGAGGGCTTTCACAATAGCCACACTGTTTTACAGTGTCAGGTATTAAACATAAATTATAACATTAATTCATATGAAAAGTGAATTAATATAAACGCAAGCATCCCCAGATCAACTTATCCATCTTCTGCATTTGAACAGGATACATGATCTTTTCACTAAAACCACTTAGGTAAATGCTGACAGAAGGAGAACATGCATTGCTTAACTTTCCTTGTCTGAATTTTTATTAAATCCACATTAATTTGCCACTGTAACATATATTAATGATTTTTAAATGAGGTGCTTAAGACTAATTTTATATATATATATATATGTATAATTTTTTTTCTTTTCTTTTTAATCCTCACCTGAGGATATTTTTTTCCTTTCATCCTCAGATAGAGCGGGAGGGGGGAGGGAGAGGGAGAGAAACAGTGATGTGAGAGGGACATGTAGACTGGCTGCCTCCTGCACAACCCTGACCAAGGCTGGGGCCAAACCGCAACCGAGGTCCGTGACCCCTTGACCAGAATCGAACCTGCGACTCCCTGGTCTGCGGGCCAACGCTCTAACCACTGAACCAAACCAGCCATGGCAAGACTAATAATATTTTAAATAAAACAAAAAACGTTTTTCTCTCAAGTGTTTCTTTCATAGGTAGTAGTTCCTTCTTACTGAGATTCATAATGATTCATCAGTAAGGTCACTGAAAAGATCTGGAAGTTACTTTTAGCTTTTAGAATAAAAAGTTGATTTCATCACTTCTCTGACCTTACCCTGTCAACCATCCGACCTAGCTCTCCAGAACGAGTCATGTAGTCAGCCTCAATCAGAAGCGTTTCTCCCACTGGTCCATTAAGTTCAAAGCAGACTTGGCAGATGACAATGGGAATTATATCTAATTTTTGTGTAAGACAGGAAGTTCATGCAATAATTAAGAAACTGAATAATGGTGACATGTAAGAAAGAATGCATAAGCAAAGACAACGTTAGATATTATATTTAGCAGAGCACAAAATTAGAAGTATTCATTTATTTTTTGCTTTTCTCTAAAAACAAATAATGAAAATACAGACTTTGGATTAATGAATTTAACAACCTTGCCAAAGCGTACGTGTTAACACAGCGCCCGGCCGGCTGCCAGCACCAGGAGCCTGTAATTACACACCAGGAGGCAGAGACCTACTGTGACTACATGCATTTGTTTTAACTGTTAACAAAGAAAAGCGTTTAAAAGTCTCCTTATCCAAGTATTTGTCAGTAGAGTTCCTGCGTTCAATTATCACTGACCAGTGCTTTTACATTTGCTTTCTCAGTGCAAAAATTAAAGCTATGCAAGTCTCCTAACTAAATTTAAATGGTTCTAAATTCAAAATCAAGAACCAAGGAAGCATTAAAAAATTTAACCTTTGGTCATTGTAAGTAAAATAAAACTGTGGAAGAAATAGAGGCCCTTCTTTTAACTCACTACCCTAATAAGGAATCCAAAGAAACCTATAATAACATCTGTGGTAGGCTAAATAATAGCCCCCCCAAAAGACATCCATGTCTCCGTCCATAGAACTATGAATGCATGCATTACCTAAGCAGTGAAAGGGACTCTGCAGACATGCTTAGGGTAAGGATCTTGCCATAGGAAGACAGCCTGACCATTCCGAGGCCCCATGTGATCACTAAGGGAAAGACAGGAGGGGCCGATCAGGAGGGGAGCTGTGATGCGGAAGCAGGGGTGGAGAGATGTGGAGGAGCTGAAGCCACGGAGTGCAGAGGCCTCTGAGCTGAAAAGCAAGAAGACACATCTCCAGTCTCCAGAAGGAACCGGTGTACCAGTACCTTGATTTTAGCCTCCTAAGACTCATTTCAGATTTCTGACCTCCAGAACTGTAAGATAATAAATCTGTGTTCTTTAAGCCATTAGATTTGTAGTAATCTGTTACAGCAACAGTAGGAAATTACAATGAATAATTCCAAAACAAAGAAGTCTGAAATTGCCAGGCCTTTCCAGGCTGCCCACCTCGGGGAACTGCCAGCACCTGGAGAATTGTGGAGGGTATAAAACAGACGCAGGGCAAAGGGAACATGATTTTACGTAAGATGAAGAAGCACCAATTCCTACCCACTGCACACTGAGCAAGCGCAGGTCTCGGAGCTTAGAACTGTGTGGGAGTTCTAAAGCAAACTGCACCGTCAGCCTGACTCGAGAAATACAAAGCAAAGATGACTGAGCTCCAAGGCTGTACCTGCAGAGCCTGGAAAAGGAACAAACTTATCTGCACAAAAGAAACTGTCAGAAGAATCACCAGCCTGCAAGGGTGCACATAGGTACTTCGACCTATAATAGAACTCTGACTTCCTGCCCTATTAAGGAGAGAGATTCTCAGAATTGCTTTTCAAGGCAATGGTATTCCAGCTACACTTCGGTATTCTACATGAGACTCCCTCCCTTTGGTATGGAAGATGGGGGACACACTGCAATACTGAAAACCGCCAGAAAACACACATGGTTCATTTCACATCGTAGCGCCGGGCGCCCGCAGCCGAGCCTTCCAGCAACAGGTGCGGGCCTGCGCTGGCCGGGCAGGTGCCGACAGCTTGCCCAAGGCGAAGCGCGGACTGAGGCAGTGAAAAGGGCTTTCTAAGCTGTCGGATGAGCAGTGAGTGACCTCTGAGCAACAGAGATGGACGACCTCGAAACTACCGAAAGACCGAGCCTTCCTAAGTGATCATGAACTGCAGTCTTTAGAATAAGCATGCTCTAGATTAGAGTGACAAAAACCAGCCTTCTCAAGTGAGGCTGAGAGGGCAAATAATGTCAGCAGTTTTCTTACTACTTTTTCTATACTTCATTCCTTGTTATTTAAAAGGGACCTGTCAACCAAAACAATAAACCCTTGCATACCACCCTTCTCCTTCTTTCCCCCGGCAAGCAGCATAAATGTATTTTGAAAATGTATCACTTTTCAAGCCACCCCCTCCCCCCTTTATTCTCACAGCACCTCTCTGAACAGAGGGAGCAGACAACTCCTTGCTGCAAGACCCCGAGGGAAAGGCTCTCTGCCCCGCCCCACTCCCTCCCCGCCTCTCACCTGCTATCTTGATGTTCAGATTGGCGTCCAGCAGCAGGTTCTCCGCCTTCAGGTCACGGTGAACGATGTTCCGGCAGTGACAGAAGAAGACTGCGGCGACGATCTGCTTGAACTTGCGGCGGGCCTCCTTCTCCGCCATCCTCCCGTGGGCCACCAGGTGGTCTGGGGGGGAAGGACACAGTTCTCAGGTGCGCTCTGCTGTGCTTTCAAAAGCAGAAGGAGGGAGGGATGCAGCGCGGGGGGCACCACATGAATGAGCTAAAAGAAGTGAGATAAGCCCTGGCCAGTTTGGCTCAGCAGTTAGGGTGTTGGCCCGCGGACCAGAGAGTCCTGGATTCGATTCCAGCCAATGTCATGTACCTCGGGTGCGGTCCGTCCCTGGCCCCGTTTGGGGTCATGCGGTGGCAACCGATTGATGTGTCTTTCTCACATCGATGTTTCTCTCTCTCTCTCTCCCTCCCTCCAGCTCTATCTGAAGATAAATGGAAAAATATCCTCGGGTAAGGATTAAAAAAAAGTGAAATTAAAACAAAAACAAAAACATTTACAATGCATTTACAGTCCTAGTGTATAACTATAAAAATCCATTGCCCCAGCCGGTTTGGCTCAGCAGACAGAGTATCTGCCCAAGGACCAGAGAGTCCCGGGCTCGGTTCCCGCTAAGGGCATATATCTCGGTTGCAGTTTGTCACCGGCCCGGGCTGGGATCGTGTGGGTGGCAACCAGGCTCTATGTGTGTCTCTCTCACATTGATGTCTCTCTCTTCCTTTCTCTCCCCCTCTCGCTCTATGCAGACATGTCCTTGGGTAAGGATAAAAAAAAAAAATACATTTACAATGCATTTACAGTCAGAGTGTATAGCTATAAAAATTCATTAGTAATCGGTACCCAAACTATTTTAAGTAGAAATCCTCTTATACATAAATATGCCTAGGAATATACTTGCCCTACAACAAGAAAAAAAAAACAAAAAGAGTTCTGAGGGACATAATGGATCATGACACTTAACATCTTCCTCTTCTTATCTCCACTGTGAACGTTTACATATCACAGCAAACAGACACTGGAAGATAAGATCGGCAATACTTCCTGTGTTAAAGGGCGATTCAGAAAGCAGAGTCACGATAGACTGCAGGCTGATGTCTCCTCTGCGTTCTCAAAGCTTTATAATTTGATCAGACATATATTTATTTGGTGGCTATTTTCTGTAATGTATAATAACACGCCTGCATCTTCACACCTGCACTGACTGTACTTAGCAAATATTTTTTAAACTATATTATTAATTTTTACAGATAACATCAACAGAAAACCAGGTGAATTTTCTACTACTTTAAATGAAATAATTTCATTGGCTATGTTGCTAACTAAGGTATATAGCAAAAGAATTTATGTCGTAAACTTTGCAAACCTGTCAATCAGGCTACCTTCTCTATTTAAAGTGAAAGGGCTGAGTCAACGTCACATGTTCAAGTTCTTTCTCAGCAGCAGCAGGAGGCGTACACCGAGCTATGAACACACATCCTCACCCAGGCCTTCACATGACAGCTGATGGGATCAGACATGTTAGCAATGATACAATTTGCTCTGTTTCAAATTTCTAATAGTTTCATCAGCGCCATCCCTAAACCAGCTGCCTAGCTGGGAAAGGACACATCTGACACCATAAGTATCTTGAGATAGTGGAAAGAGAAGCTGAGCACTGTAAATTCACTACTGTCTATCAACGGCTGCTTCAGCAGCACTGCCCAACCGTGGCGGTGCACTGCGGTCACCAGCAGGCCCGGCCAGCAGCACACCTTCCCGCCAGCGGCGACCTCGGGACAAGACCCTGGAGGGCGGAGGAGCTGAGGACAAGCCATCTACATAGCACAATTTAAATTCTGACCTCAAAGATCATAAAATTTTGGAGACCAAAAATGTAGTAATTTTAATAACAATGTCTTATAGAACATTTAAATTATTAAGAAAAACTGTTCAAAGGCATTGCTGTAATTGTTAGGGTTATAAATGACCCACACACAAGATCTTCTTGAAGCATTTCCCTCAAAAACAATCATTACTATGGTCAAGATGACCAATCTGGTAAGAAAGGAGAATATAAGGAGTCTTTGAAGTCCAGAGGACGAGGACACTGCTTTCTATGGGAGCCCGAGGTGGTGATAAATGAGCTCATGCTCGGATGTGTTTAGGCTTCTGGTGAGACCTGTCACATGAACTGTAAACACCACCAAGTCCCTCACTAGGGACAGTAAGTTAACATGAGCTGTTGCAGGCCGGGCACCCATCAGAGGGACAGCTCGGACCTGTTTCCGAAGGCCATCCGCTAGCAGTGCTGTTCCACGGACAACCCCCACTCCTCTTAGCCTGAGGCCTCATTATTCTAATAATATGTTTTAGCTGCTAAACTTTGTCTAATTAAAGAGCTTTGAAGAGACAGCTATTCTTGAGAAACATAAAAATGAACCCTTATGAAGGTTTACCATCAGCAGCTCATTTGAGCAAGCCAACCATTAATTAAAATGCCCAAGAGACATTTGTCTGGCAGTAAATACTAATTACCAGACACATCAAAGAGCTCCTTATATACAACAGAATAATTAATTTAGTAATTTCCAAAATATGTGATTTTCTTTTCTTTTAAAAAAACTCTTTAGCCCTGACCAGTTTGGCTCAGCAGTTAGAGCGTCGGCCTGAGGTCCAGAGAGACCCAGGTTCGGTTCCCGCTGAGGGCGTGTACCTCGGTTGCAGTTTGTCCCCGGCCCTGGTTGTCATGTGGGTGGCAGCCACTCAATGTGTCCCTTTCACATCGATGTTTCTCTCTCTCTCTCTCTTCCTTTCTCCCCCTCCCACTCCATCTGAAAAAAAATGGAAACATGTCCTTGGGTGAGGATTAAAAAAAAAACAAAACAAAAAACTCTTTATATTTTCTAAGTACTCTATTCTCCTAAAATGATCATGAAGTTCTCAGAGCTGCACACAGGCCAGAAGCCAGCGGCATGCAGCCTCGCTCCGCCTGACCTCTGCCTTGACACCCGGGCTGCCCTGGACAAACCACTTACGCTGCCAACGTCCCCACCTCTTGATCTGCCAACGAGAAATACAGTGTTACATGCTAGGGCAAAAGAAACGGTAGTGTATTTGGGCATAAATGTGTATTGTGAATAAGAATTATCATATATGGCTTAACTTTAAAGACATGTGAAAAGTTATTTTTAAAGGTTTACTCAACACTAGACAGAGAATATTTAAGAATTTGATTAAGATCACAAGGTTCTTCAAGATTCTGTAGTGCTTTAAGGTGATTATCAGATACATCATTTGTCACTGTTACATGGTTCCGGTATTTATAACAGCACAGTGTGTAAAACAGCTTAAACTATGTAGTATGTTCCCCAAAGGTTTCTACAGAACCCCCACAGGTATAAAAATGAGGAAAGTGTACAATCGCTTCCTAAGCAGTACCAGCCGCAGGCACGAGGAGTCCTCTCCCGGCCGTGTGCGGTGCGGAGTGCCTCTCCGGGAGCCCTGCGCCCTCTCCCGGGCCGTGTGCGGTGCCGAGTGTCTCCCGGAGCCCTGCGCCCTCTCCCGGGCCGTGTGCGGTGCCGAGTGCCTCTCCGGGAGCGCTGCGCCCTCTCCCGGCCGTGTGCGGTGCAGAGTGTCTCCCGGAGCGCTGCGCCCTCTCCCGGCCGTGTGCGGTGCAGAGTGTCTCCCGGAGCCCTGCGCCCTCTCCCGGCCGTGTGCGGTGCAGAGTGTCTCCCGGAGCGCTGCGCCCTCTCCCGGCCGTGTGCGGTGCCGAGTGCCTCTCTGGGAGCGCTGCGCCCTCTCCCGGCCGTGTGCGGTGCCGAGTGCCTCTCTGGGAGCGCTGCGCCCTCTCCCGGCCGTGTGCGGTGCAGAGTGTCTCCGGGAGCGCTGCGCCCTCTCCCGGCCGTGTGCGGTGCAGAGTGTCTCCCGGAGCGCTGCGCCCTCTCCCGGCCGTGTGCGGTGCCGAGTGCCTCTCTGGGAGTGCTGCGCCCTCTCCTAGCCGTCTGAAAGACATCAGACTCCCGCCTCCCGCCTCCCGCCTCCCGCCTCCCGCCTCCCGCCTCCCGCCTGTCCTCGCCCATCTCGCTGGCGCCCCCCACCGTTAGCTAGTCACTGGCGCAGCCCACAGGCCCCTGGGCGCCAGGACGCCAGCAGCCTGCAGTGGTTTGCAGGCTGCGGGCACTGCCTCCCAGCTGTCCGGGGACAAGCGGCTGCTTTATGCTCATGTGGGCTCTGGAGGCAGTGAGCAGAAATTCTTCAAGTTCAAATGCGATGTTTGACTTGCAGTGAAGAAACCCAGAGCAATGGCCCAGAGTGGACTTTGCCATCACAGATTTGAATAAATACTGGAATAACGTAAGAAAGGCAAATGAAACAAAATGGCTCCTGAGCCATGCAATGTTTAAAGTAAAATATATTCTGAATCTTGTCAGGATGAACCGAGTTGCTCTGCTTCTTCTAGGCAGTTTAATAAACTCGCTCTCCTCAATACTGGGCGAGATGCCACCCACAGCTCTGGTCCAAACCCCCCAGCAACCTGGCTTCCTGGACGCCCCCCCCCCCACAGTCCAGACAGTCTCCAATCACATCCTGCCACACACACGTCCTCACAATTAAGTTCTTCACGGTCAACTACTTATCTATTTAGTTGCCACTAAATGTGTCAGGCAAAAGTGAGGTTTTTCTCTATCACAACTTCACTGCAACCATTTCAGCCCGACAGGACAAAGTGACTCAGCTGGGAGGGGAAAGGGACTCGTCCGAGCTCCCCCAAGAGCGAGGAGTCCACGTTCTCCTTCTCACATTCTGGTCACACAACCCGGTGGCACCAGCGCTTCCATCTGTCTTTAATCTCCTCTTCCTCCAAAATAAAAAGAAGTGATGACACTGAGGGATCTCTGTATCGCATGAGGAACATGATTAGACGTGGCGGGAATGAATTCTGAGGCTTCAGAATTACTGGAGCACCAGCATGCGTAAAGTTGGCTTCAGAATTCGCTGTCATTCTGTCCCAGTCTGACTCAGGAACAAACAGCCACATGCAGACTCTAACCTCTCAGGGGCACACACACCAGGCACCGCGAGCCCCCGCGCAGCCGCCCTGCATGTCGGGCACCACACGGAGCAGTGGTGGGGCC